CTTGTCGTTGTTGATGCATTTGAGTGGTGCACGGGTACGTAGTTGCCGTTCAATAAAGCTGTGGGAAGATACGGACAGGGTCAAAGTGAAAAATTCTAGATCGATCGGCCAGGGATTTGAAATGCTATACTTTGTGTGCTTGATTTTTTTTAATCTAATTATTCTTTTTTGTTTGTTTGTTTTGAATGATTTGTTCTTCAATCACTTCTGATCCACTTGCAAAGGAGTTTTTCTTGATGCACAGATATAAGTTTTTCACATGATTTATTTATAGATTTTCATGGTTCTTTGCTCCAAAGAACAAAATTTTTCTTAACCCTAATTAAACAGGTTTTTTTTTTTCCCTTTGAGTGATGTAGAGAATTTCCATTTTCAATGATCTGTTTGTTTTTTATAATTCTTATATTGTTTCTTCCATTCTGTTCTTGTTTTAGAGTCCAATCAATCATAACCATTATTCCATAATAATATTCTGTATATCTGTTCTTTGTTCCTCATGCTTTAGAGAAAAATCAAGGGGCAAGCTGTTTTCTTCCGTTGCTATTATTCTGCAAGCTGCTACTTTGTACATCAAAGAAAATGAAAAGGTTACTCCTGATTTGCAGAAACACTGTAAGAGAAGAGTGTGTGAGAGAGAGAATGATAACTGTTGTTTTGACATATGGAATTTTCTGCAGGTTTAGATTCTTGTCTTTGGTGAATATTTCTCAGTTTGTTTTGGATCTTTTTATCTTAATTGTTTTGGTTTTGTTTTATAGTAGCGTAACCCTATATGTAGGTTCCACACTGCTGGACTTGAGGTTCAAAAAGCTCTTACCCTTGATATTTGTAGATAAAATTGCAATAGATTTCAGCTGATCGATCTGCAGTTATACTTCCATCTATAAATATTAACTTCAGTCATTTTTATGCATTTCCAAACACATCAAAAATTCAATTGCTGTCAAATATATATATTTTTTTGTTAGTGACTATATGATTCACTGCACTCTCATAAATTGGAATACATGCTTTTTAATCTATAAATAGTTTACAATTATTCTGCTCTTTTCTGCTTAAAACTACCACGAAACTTTTTAACTATAATCGGGTTATGTAAGGAGCATTGAAGTTATAGTTATTGGATGTCATAGATGGACCACTGGAACTAGTCTTTAGCCTAGCTTGCCTCATTTGAGATCCCCATCCAATTGTACCAGTTTAATTTCCTTGCTTAAGTTCATCCAATTGAATTTGAATGTGAATTTTCTTTTAGCTGAATATACCTTTTATCTAAAGAGAAACTGTATAACATAAGAAGATTGGATAGATCAAGTAGCTGAGATTGCCTAAGATTAGGGTTTTTCTTCTTTCTTTTTTGTGATATATATACATATTTTTTCAACAATTCCCAAGGACAACTTAGCTGCAAGAAAAAGGGCTTCTAAATATCCCAAAAACATGCTGTCTCTTGTCCTGATATTACTGGGGATGTTTCTAAATCAGATCTGAATGTTGGTGCTTTCCTCTGAGATAGTAGAAACAATGAAGCATTTTTTTTTTTTTCGATAGACAAGTGGATCTACCATAGACAAACTAGTGTGATATTTTTAAATGCAGGGATATATAGACTTTTAAACTAATTTTTACTGCAATAAATTAAATTCTATAAGAAAGTACAATCAGCAGCCTCACAAACTAACAATTGCTGTCTTCTTTCTAAACCATTTAACTTAACTTGGCTGTATTCGGATATGTTCACGAGAAAATTGAATTCATCCAGTTAAGAGGCCAACTCTTTTGTTGTTGGTTGAAGTTGCACGGATCATCTGATCTAGCTACTTTATTTATATGATCCATACATGCATGTCTTAATGTCGCCAACTAATCACGCTCATATTTTAGTCATTGCTCCTTTTGTTTGGTGTATAATGTCTTTTTTAATAACATTACTTTATGATTGATAGAACATGGAGCATTGCTTAGCTCCTTTATTTTTTTAGCAATAAAACATTTTTGGATATATCTTTTCTCTTAATTGATTCAAAAAATTTTATTTAATATCAAATCTAGTAAATTCATGAAAAATTACTTTTTTTTCAGCTTCCAAACATATTCAAACCCATACAACAAAAAGAAAAGAATGCTTGCCACTTGAAACAATCGTATATGAGTTTTTTTTTTTTATTTGTATTTAGTTATGAATGTTAATTAACTGATAATTTACTGTGTACTGCTATACATTGTAATTACTTAAATTGTTTTTACAAGTAGTTTATTCCAAGAAGAAAGTATTTTACTAGCATTATTGTATCTTAAAGGAAATTGTTGGGGATCAAATTTGTGATTAAATTTCTAATATATATGCTATTGGACAACCTAGCTACCAATTATATTGATAAGGTAAAAAAGGAAGGGTTTGTTTGTCTTATTTAATTTAAAATTATTATAGCTTCTTTCCTTTAGGAATGGAATAGATAGAGAGATGAAAAGCAGTGATTGCCTTGTGTTTTGTGAATGTCTACTTGAATCTTGGTGATCTTTAGAGAACTTGGTACTGTAACTGCTGCAACATTTTGTCTTGTTGCCTGTATTATTTGCTGTAATACGGTAATAATATTCTTAACCCTTTTCAGGACTCTTTCCATCTCTTTCTCTCTTTAAAGAACAAAACCAATACAAGGTGAATACTAATTTACTAATTTATCATTTGACAAATTAAGTATATATTATCAATAAAAATTGATTGAGTTGATAAAGATCAAATATTTCGCTTGTAAAGTTTAGATTCGATTTCCGCTGCGACTAATTCTTCTTGGTGTACGATTTGTAAATTGGATGTAAATTATTTTTGAGACATGTAATCTGTCATGATCCTGAAATGAAAAAACCTTCTCTCATCTTAGATTTTTTGCATCAGTGTTTAGAATGTCAATAAATTAAAGTATTCATAAATCACATATGAACTATTAGTATTATATTTCCTTTTTACTCTTACACACATGCAAAAATGCGTACGTTTTCTTGCATGTTTTGCTGTTTGTATATAGGCAAGTTAGGTTGGTTTGTCCTGTCAAAAGTGAAAACTGATCCTCCTCTGGCCATTTGAATATTTGATTAGGATGTGATAATACAATTTGATCACTTGCCCTCCTATTTTTGACAAAAAAAAGTAATTTATGTAAAGTTTATTCCTGCTCCTAATTGTCATAAGTGAATTGGAAGACTGCCAATCGATAGCAGATCCAAGATTTTTTAGGGTGTTTGTTCTTAATATATATATATATATATATATATATATATAAATCTGTGGACGAACCTATTAATTTTATCTTTTTCTTTAAAAAATTTTTTTATCTCTTAATTTTTAAACTTTCCATAAACACCTTATTCACGTCAATACGCCTCGTTAAAATGCACCGTTGTTTGCAGCTATAGCCAAGGGTTGAAGAGTTAGATACTGTCATGATGATGGGTTCACTTTGGCTTGTACAAAAGTCCCTATATATGTATTCCTTTTCATCTTCATGGTCAATAAAGTTGCCATTTATCGTTGCTGGCGCACTTTAACTTAAGATAAAAGGGCAGGCCCCTTCCCTCTTGCAATTTCACTTGCTGTCCTATTGTTCTATTGAATAGTTTGAACTTTTAATAAGAGTTATGCATCAAAAGCGACGTGACCGAAACAAATTTCCCCCACACAAGGGGGCGGCATTATTGCTTTGCCTTGCCATTTCCCTTTCAGTTAGTCCATGGCTCCCCCATATATATATTTCACTAGTTTTTACTTTCAAAGGCGCCAGTTGTCGTCTCATGATCTTGTATATATAGATATTAATTATTTAATTATACAAACTAATAAATCCTCAACTTAAGTAAATCCAGAGAGCTAGCATGAATTCAACAAGAACATGATCTTGTTCTTCATTCAAATGTGTACAAAAATATGGACGGTTCCCCCTCCCCCACAAATTTCAGTTGCTGATTCAGTACTTACACTGTTTGCTTATATCGAATAGTTTGAAAGAGGAAGAAAAGCTTGTAAGAATTTTCCGTTGTGGTTTTTTCTAATAGTTATAATTAAGTTGGCAATTAAAAGGGTAAAATTTGAACTTGAGACACTCTTTCTGGGGGGAAAAGATTTGCCACCACCACCAGTCGATTGTCTTTTGCCACTTTAAACAAAAAATTTGACCAAAAAGCTTCAAACTTATATTTGTTCAACCTTTATATGTAAATTTCTCTCTTTTCAACCATTTGCCTATGGAAATTGATCCACATTTACAAGCTTAGATTATTTTTCATCTGAATATACAATCAAACTTAAAGCAATTGGCATCATCTTCATGAGAAACTATTAAAATCTCTCTTAAAAATTGATTGGATGAGAACCCTGCACTTCAAAAAAATCACAAAATCTGTGTTTAATTATAAAAGCAACAATATAAGTATATAAATGCTTGAATTGGTAACTTGCTAATGCAATAAAAATTATTGAATTATTGTCACCTTTTCCCCATGCTTTGTCAATAATTGAATTCACGAAAGCTAGATAAAATATCAGGGGTCTAATATTAGCAAAAAATATTTTTTTTTCTATAGTACTGTAACATTATATTATTATTATTATTATTAATTATTTTCTTCAGTGTACAAATCACTCAGAACCTGCCACGATCCCCTGTCTGGCCTGTTACAAACTTGTTTTGTTGGTGGACCTCTATATCTACCCATATCAGTAGCATTCCCTGGGCTAAACATTCAAAATGATGTTTGTTCCAAAGCTTTCTTTGTATTAGGGAAAGATTCCCCATCACTGCTCTCGTATCTCTCTCTCCACTGCACCCTTTTCCTCCTCCATCTTTAATTACACCTTAAACACAGCCATTTTCTTTTGGGGTTTTGTATTTGGTGATATTCTTCTCACCCATCTTTAACTTCCCTGACTTTAATGATGGATCACTGCTTTTTTTTTTTAAATTTCCTAGAGGCCTAAAGTATATACTATATATAGCTGTAAAATAATAATAATAAAAAAAATTAATTTTCAAGGCAAATTAAAGCTATTGCCCGGGATTGGTGAATGAGTGAGCATTTTTATAAATGTCCCACTGTTTTGATGTTCTTGTTACTTGCTAGAACATAATTGGTTGAAATCTAGAAAAACCAAAAAGGAACAGAAAAGGAAAAATGGAAAAGCAAAAAAAAAAAAGGGAAGTAGTTGAGAATAAGAGGTGCTTGTGAGGTAGATAAACTTCAAGTTCCTTGGATGTTATTCTGCTGTCCACCAATGCTGTTTCCGCATGTATGCTACTTCTGCTATCAACTTGGTCTATCCTCTCTAGCCATAACTTGTCAAAAATAAAAATAAAAAAAAAACCCATCTTAGCTAGCAAAATTGCTTCTTTAATTCAAAAATATTTGGCAGATCCATAAAATATATGAAAATTTTAATTCAAATTTAGAACGATAAAAAAAAAAAAAAAAAACTCAAAATCCAACTGAATAATCACAAGATATGTTGTTTGAATTCCTGAAGCCTGGTCTACAACAGGTATTATAAAACTCAGCCACCATTCTAAAGATATAAGAAATCCAATTACTATATCTTAGCAGGAGAAGGCAAGCACCAAAGGAAACAGGGGGTTGTCTCAATGTAATGTGAGAGTTTTGAATAGGAATTTTGGAAACATTGATGGAATGCAGTCAATAATTAATGCATGAAATAGATATAGGGTTAGAGGGATGTTATAGGGGTTAGGAAAGAGAACAATGGAGGAATAGGTTGGAAAAGTTGAGATCATCAGTTTTCACAAGTTGGCTATCCAAACCCATTATGATATATAATTCAGCATTGGATTATTTCCATAAGAGCTCAACTGCCTCTGTTGAGGGTGAATTGAGAGATATAATAAAGAGAATTAATTAAAAGGAAAGAAAGAGACTGAGTCAGATATATAATTTGGGATAGATCAGTGGGGGAGTGGAGTGGTTAAAAAATGATGTCACAAAAAGGGACAAAGGTTAACCTTTTTCCACAGAAATGTAGAAGAGATCATGTATGGCATAGATAGAGACAGGCACAAAGCAAAACCAGAAGGCCAACAGGAGGAACTATCATCATTGAAGATAAAAAGGAATTAAAGGTAGGGAATTTTCCCTGCAGCAAATGTAACCCCCCTTTTTTCACCATTTTGATTGAAGATAATCAGAAATACTACTGAAGTATTACTCTATATAAGTTAAAGTAAAAAAAAAAGGATAATTAACATCAATTCATACAAACTAATGTTATATACTCAAATATATATATATGCAAATTATTCCTGCATGGCAAGAAACGTGTTGCAGTCTATATGGGTTAAAATAAATGAAATCACCACTACTCCTTAGTTTTATTGATTTGAAGAAACTATCTTTTCAAGAGAGAAAAAAAAAAGATAAAAAAAACCCACCTTGTAATTCAGCATCAGAAATCTTTTCTCTGTGGGAAAGCTGCAAGAATTGTGGATCATAATTCAGAGAAAAACGAAGGGAATTGCAATTAAAAAAAAAAAAAAACTGGTGATAAAGCGTACCATGATCTGTATGCACACAAAAGAGAAATGGAGTTTTTTTTTTTTTTTTTGCTGCAGAAATCTTGGTCTTCAATGTAGCTAGCTGAAACAAGAACAATAAGTCCTGAATTGCCATGTTCTCCCACAGCTTTCTTGAGCTTCCACGGTGTGCTATATATAGCTAACATGTTAAAGATGGAGTAAGTACACCGAGAAAGTTCAAGAAAGCTGTGGAAAAGCATGACCAGAACTTTCAAATAAAAGAAAAAGAAAATCAACCGTCCCACTGAAATTGCTTGACCCTCAGATCTCAAAAAAAAAGAACTCTCAAATCATCAGGGAAGCCTTTGTCCTGAGTCCTTCTGACCTAAAAACACTGAGCACTGATGAAAAGGAAGAGAGACAGAGGAAAAGAAGAAGGAGCATGGCCATCCAAAGTTCCATGGACCACTCTAACAATATATAATCTGTCTACCAGCTTTATAGAGAAAAGAAAAAGGGGGAAGAGGAGGCCTGAGAGGCGGGGAAGACAGGGATTGGGGGTAGGGTTTATTTTCACTCACAAACTAGCATTTTACGCACAAAAAAAGCGCCTGCTTTACTGGTGAGTGCGCAGTGGGGTACAAAACACAGCCAGATTAGATAGGTAAAGGAAAAACAAAATTAAACTCAAACCCAACATTGAAAAAATTATGGAGAAAAAAAAGAATAATTAAACATGCATGAAGAAAAATTAAAAGAAACCCATAATTAAAAGAATAAAAATAAAATGAAGGAAAAATCCACACACCCAAACAAAATCCCATCCGGCCATCCCCCCCATCACATGCAACCATGTGATTTCGATCTTTTTTTTTGTTTAAGATTTATTGGAAACTAAAGGTATGGGTTGTTTTATGGTCCCCCAATCTTTATGTTTTTCTTTTTTTAGCCCAACCCAGTGTATAATATATAGGTGATCATCAATCATGATGTTGTAAAACGTTTCTGCCTTCTTCATTTTTGTGTTTCTTCTCTTTTATGTATAATTGTTCCAGAAAATAAATGAAATAATTAGTACTTTATTTTATTTTTTCAGGAGGAGAAAAAGTTGAATAATGGGAGTAAAAACCGAAGATGAGTTTTTTTTTTTTTTTATCTGTACTTTTTACTTGGAGAGACCTGAAATTTTTAAATTCGCTGCAACGATGCGACTCACTTGGACAGACTTTGATGTTGATGTGATGGCCCCGGAAAAATGATAGCGTGAGCATTTTGAACCAAATGGCATTTTGGAGTTTTAATCAAGGCTATTTTTTCCCTATTTTGTCAGTTTTCGTCGGCATTTTGAAAGTTTCAACCGATACCTGAATATTTGGGGATGGATAATTCTAAATATACTCAAAAAATACTCTTTACACTTTATTATTAAAGATTAAATACATATTTTATCCTTAAATTTTATAATTTGTCACATTGATACTTAAAATTTTTTTTATCACATTGATACTTAAATCTTCAAATTTATTATCAAATTAGTATTTAAAATTAATGTTGTTAGCCTACTTCACAGACATAATATTAATATCTAATAAAATATTAATATGTGAAAAAAAATTTAGTCGATATTATATTATCAACGTCATATCATCATTAAAAGAAATTTCAAAAAAGTTTCTTAAAATTTTAAAAGTTTAAAAAAATTTTTAAAATATTAAAACATTCTTAAAAATTTATAAATAGTCAAAAAAATTTTAAAAATTCAAAACATATTTAAAATATTTTTAAAAATTTCTAAATTTCTTTTCAAAATTTTTAAAAGTTCTAAAAATTTTAAAATTTTTTTAATTTTATAAAAAAATTTTCATTCAAAAATTACAAAAAATTCTAAAATTCTAAAATTTTTTTAAAATAATAATTTTTTTTAGATTTATAAAAAATTAAAATTTTCAATATTTTTAAAATTATAATAATTTTAATTTTTTTTTAAATTATCAAAATTTTTTAAAAATTAAAAATTTCAAAACAAATTAAATTTTATAAAAATTAAATTTTCTTCAAGTTTAAACAAAATCACAAAACTTTAAAAATTCAAAATAAGAAAAATCTAAAAATTTTTCAAAATTAAAAAAAAATTTAAATTAAAAATATATTTATAAAAAAATATGAAATTATAAGATTAAAAAATAAGAAAAAAATTTAGAATTTTTTCAATTTTTTTAAAATATTTTAAAAAAATTATCATATTTTTTGAAATAATTTTTTATTTTTTATTTTAGTTTTTGTTAATTTTTTTAATTTTAACAAATATTTAAATTTTATTAAAATTTCCATTCTTTGTTTTTTTATTCATTTAATTTATTTTTAATTTTAAAAATTTTTTAAAATTTTTTGGTTTCCTTAATTCCTTTTGAATTTTTAACAATTTCTAGAATTTTTAGAACTTTTAGAATTTTTAAAATTTTTTAATATGTTAATATTATTTAATATTTTTAAAATTTTAAAATTTTTAAAAGGTTTTAGAACTTTTCAAAATATTTCAAAAATTTTTAACTTTTTTTGAATTTGTTAAAAAAATTTTGAAATTATTTTAGAATTTTTAAAAATATGTTAGAATTTTTTTTAAATGTTTTAAAATTTTCTAAAATTTTTGTTTGAATTTTTCAAATTTTTTTGAATTTTTTAAAAAAATTTTAGAATTTTTTGAACTTTTCTGAAATTTTTTTTTTAAAATGATGTCGCATTGATGATGTGACATCAATTAGATTTTTGACACATGTTAGCATCTTATTGGATGTTTATACTATGTCAATAAAGTTGACTAACGGTATTAGTCATAGGTATCAACATGATAACTGATTTGAATGTGTAAGTACCAATGTGACAAAAATTATAAAATTCAGAGACCAAATATGTATTTAACCATATTATTAAATATACCTAATATTTAAAATATAAATAATATTTTTACTCAATATACCTTATCTTAGTATTTCACACTTCCATTCATACCTTTATACTATTTTCTCTTCTTCATTATCTCAATTCTCTCTAAACTCAATCCAAACTTAACCTAAAACCTTCAAACAAACTCCTAAATCACAAGTTTTTTTCATTCATTCAAGGTAGGATTTCCAAATTATTATTAATTAATTTGGTTGATTTGTTAGGATTTATAATGTAGGGTTTAGGAATTTTTTCATTCAAATCATGTATTACAAAAATGGATATCCATAAGTTTCGCAAGGTTCTCAAAATTTCATTTTCATAAGCCTTTTAAAGTTTACAGATATCTATTTTTGTAAGCTTTAAAAGGCTCTCGAAATTGCATTTTCGAGAAGTCTTTGAAGCTTACAGAAATCCATTTCTGTAAGCCATTCAGAGCTTGCAAAAATTCATTTCCTTAAGCTCAGAATTGAAATTCATTCCGTATGTTGCTACTAAACTGTTACTTTTTTTACAATGTCACAACAAATATGATTTGAACTCGAGGTGGAGGCATTAGTATGAAAGGTAAAGGTGTTGAAAAGGTGATGGATGTACCATAGCTGATCTTGGTCCAAATCGAAGGCATTGGACTACCTTTGAAAAGCAATACCTTGTCAAAGATGATAGTGAGTCGATTGAGGATCGTGCAAAAGATGATATTCCACAGGCTGAGCCTTTCATTAATGATGAGGAACTTGCCACCCACAAGCATCATGATAAGGATGGAGATAACAGTGTAGAGCAGGTTTTTCAACCTTTTTTTGAAGGTTCGATCGATATATTTTTAGAAGTTACAAATCTCATATTGCATTACAGATATGGAATGGCTTAGTAATCATTTGAATCATATAATACAATAGTGTTAGTTTATGTTTTTAAAATGAATTAGTTGATGTTGTTGTTTTTTATGATATTGTTTATGTTGTTATTTATGTTGTTGATATTATTGATGTTGTTATTTTTATTGTTACAAAAACGAGATCCATTGAAATCGATTAATTATGGACCTAAATTGTAGCAATGGCATATAAATGATGCACCTAAACATATCTGAGCTAATGTAGTCAAGTCGAGATTGGATTCATTTAATAATTGCACCTATTATTTGATAAATAATACAATAGTGTTGGCTTCTATTGAAAGGTGACAACTAAAGACTAAGCTTATCTTTTCACTAAACTTTTTTTTTCTCTATCTCTGTCTATGTTTCCTATTTATAAACTCTAGCTTTTTTAGTTGTGAAACTTTGAACACTGTTTCTTATGTAAGTCACAATCATTTCTCTTTGTACATTGTTGTTCTTGTTCAAAAGTATTCTTAATTTTTTTTATGTTTTATTTTACATTTTTTAGTTACTGATTTACTTTTACAAGAGATTTTGATAATGTCAACTTAGGTAAAACTTAAGAGACAAAATCAAAATACGTTCATTGATGCACTTGACAATAATGCCCTCAAATGGGTTCAAGAAGTAAGAGTTTTTTTTTTTTTTTGTTGAAAGGTGGCAACCAAAAACTAACTCCTTTCATCTGCTATTTAGAGAGAAATGAGCATCATGTTAGATAATGTGTTCTTAATTCTGCACATATCGATCATTAAGATCATGATTTTAGTTAATTATTAGACAATCGATAAGGCAAACACTCTGTTGGTTAGGTTACTTGGAGTTTTTGTGTCTAAGGTCGCAACAGAGATTAATCGGGCTCATAGATCCACTATTCGACTATAATGGCTACAAGATACTTTTAAAAATGTAACAGATACATCATATGATTAGACAATAAAGAATACATGCCAGGCTTTTTCTCTTCATCTACTATGATGTACATTATTTGTTAACAAAAGCTTGATGAAAGTATTGGTAGCATATTTAATCCTACTAAGTGACCTTAATGCAACTGGTAGATATTAACATATACATCAGATGATCAGACAATAGAGTATACATCTCAAACTTTTTCATTTTATTTGCGAAAGTGTACATTATTCATTGACAAGAACGTGATGAAAGTATCAGTAAAGTACTTGATCCTATTGAGCGACCTTAATGCAACTGGTAGATATGCTTGGGGGACATCTGGCCTAACATATTTATACAAGCAACTTGACATTACAAGTAGGGTAAACATTCATCAAAATATTGGTTATCTGATATTTCTACATGTATGTATTTATGATTAGTAAAAATATATTATAATTATTTGATTTATTTGTTATTAAACGAAAATATGATTAATTATTACTCATGTATTTCATGTAAATGTAGATTTATAAACACTTTACATCACTGAGTCCAATAGGTATATTGACATACACAAATGATCAACCGTGTGCTCGATAATGGAAAGCTTGTACTTATACTAATATGTTATAAGCTTTACGAGAGCAATTGGATGTGTTGACGATATATGATATGTGCTAGGAATCATACGTCGATCAATGAAAGAAACATTCATTGCATGATATTTCATTTTTTACGAAATGTATCAAGTGCTGGGCATCTAGAGCCATATCATCTAAAAAGGGTTTTATGAAAGTTTGAATTTGTACGAACCATTTTTCTAACCCTTTGGCCTTGTCTTGAGCAGCAA